CTCCTGTTTTCACTACTGCCTCCCCATTGATGTAAGCACTGGGCACAGCACCAAGCCCACGGGAGCTGCTATTTTTATTATTGTAACTGATGTTACAGGTTCTGGAAATGGAAGAATATTTTAGAGCTTTTAAGTGCTCTAGAGATATAGGACCGAGGCCGGAAAGTACTTTAAAGTCTTTGATTTTTTTTCTCCCCTCCCTCATTAACTACTCTTAGGGACTCCACAAAAGTTCCTTTCCCATGGGAAATAGCTGCATTTTTTTTTTTTTTTTTTTTTTTTTGGAGCACAGCTGTAAGTTGTGAATTATTCCTTCCCATTTGAAGCTGGGTGACAATGTACTCTCATTCTGACCCAGCACTGAATTGCAAATTGTAGTCACTCACTTTTTCTTACAAGCAGAAGTGCCCTAATCACATGGTTATTCGGTAACTTCCACCTTTCAGGATCTTAAGAAAAAAGGGGGAAAAAAAAGGCTTTGCTTTTATAAACTCATTTGTGGCTGGCTCAGTGATAAAGCCTTGAGCCTTGTCAGCTTTCAGGAATTCTCTGCGTTTGTCTGTGTTCTGTTACCCAAGCAGCTTGTTATCTTTGCAGCTTAAAGGCTGACTTGGGAATTCAGACTGTCACCTATTTAAAGAGAATGAAAGTCCACCCTCCCCTCTACTATTTTAATTAACTTTCAGGGAGCAAGGTTTCCTACTGGTTATGATAATGTTCACTTAAAATACTCTTAAGGAAGCATGGCAGGAAGCTAAATAAGAAGGGGAGGATTGTTGTTTTTTAAAGGCATTCCAGGGGCGCCTGGGTGGCGCAGTCGGTTAAGCGTCCGACTTCAGCCAGGTCACGATCTCGCGGTCCGTGAGTTCGAGCCCCGCGTCAGGCTCTGGGCTGATGGCTCGGAGCCTGGAGCCTGTTTCCCATTCTGTGTCTCCCTCTCTCTCTGCCCCTCCCCCGTTCATGCTCTGTCTCTCTCTATCCCAAAAATAAATAAACGTTGAAAAAAAAAAAAAAAAAGGCATTCCAGAAGAAGAGTTTGAGCAAAGCCACGCAGGGGTGACATGTGGAGGAAGGAGAAGAGAGGCATGAACAGATATGAACAGCGGAGTATAGGAAATTTAAGTACATCATATAGACTAAGTAGAGCCTCGAGGCCAGGTTAGGGTGTTGGAGGGTCTCTGCAATGGGAACCCGAGAGATTCTTAGAAGGTGAAAATGATGATCCCATTAATGTCTGGGGAAGATGACTGGGGTCTGTTGTGGGTGGTTGTGGGTGATGGAATCAGAAAAGACCCAGGAGATCACTGGCTCTGGGACATTGTTCCCTTGGGCCTGATTTTCCATCCATTAATTTGTTAAATGGCAATAACATTTGTGGTGGGGACTGAATAAAATCACGCGTGGACTTTGAAAATAATGTCATCGAAAGCACTCAAACTATACACACAGAGCTCTCCAGTCGGGTTGAGTGGAGGGGAACGTGGGCTGAGAAAGCAAGCACTCTGATAGAGGAAGAGAAAGGAGCTGACTGACAGACGGAGGAAATAGGCGGGAGGGAGAAGGGGAAATCCTCAGCGATGATTCAAGAGAGAAAGGTGATGTCATACAAAGGGAGCCAGGGAAGAGGCGCTGCTCTGGGGGCTGGGATCCTGGTGGCTTCAGCTTTGGAAATGCTGAATTTGAGACAGCCAGAGATAATTCACAAGGAGTGGGTGGGCCAGAGCAGCATTAAGTAGGAGTTTCCGGGCACCTGGGTGGCTCAGTTGGCTAAGTGTCTGACTCTCGATTTCTCTCAGGTCATGATCTCACGGTTCACAGGATCCAGGCCCATGTGGGGCTCTGTGCTGACAGTGTGGAGCCTGCTTGGGATTCTTTCTCTCTCTCTCTCTCTCTCTCTCTCTCTCTCTCTCTCTCTCTCCCTCTCCCTCCCCCCCTCCCTCTCCCTCTCTCTCTGTCTCTCTGTCTCAAAATACATAAATGAAGTTAAAAAAAGAAGTAGGTGTTCAATCACTTTTTTAATTGAGAAAGCCACATCGCTCTGGTCTTGGAACTTACTCGGTGACATTTTTGGAGGTTCAAACCTCAGTGAGTAAACTCAGTTTAGTTCTAAAAGCCAAGAGCTACAGCCACCCACATGTAAACCAACAGAAACGTGGAATTCAGAATGGCCCTTGAGGTAGCCCTTGACAGAAGGCCAAGTTCCCTGGAATGAGATGCCCGCACCTATGTGTCATCGTGTCCTCAGTGCCTAGACTGGGGCTGACGCGTGTTAGGCATTCAGTCGATGTTACTGGATAAAGCTATAAACTTTGATATAATTTTAATTTAGCGATCAAGAATGTGCAAACTCCATTTTAGCACGTTGTACTCTGCCTTTTTAAGGAACATCCCTCTGCCTGTTTTGACCTGAGAAATATCCTATAAGAAAATAATCACAGATAACCACCTCCCAACTATACCAAGATGTTCACCACAGCATCATTTCTATACCAAACAATTCATATTTGAAGCAACAGGGGGGACGGAAGGAACTATTCGAAGCACTTTGCAAATATTAATTCATTTCATTCTCATAGCAATGCTACAGGGTGTATACTATGAATATAAGTTCCATTTTGCAGAGGAGGAAGTTGAGGCCTGGGCACTTTAAATAACCTGCTCAACATTACACAGGGAGTAAGTAGCAGACGTTGGCATCTGAGTAAGTCTGTCTGATTCTATGTCTTTGCTTTAACCAATCTGTAACATTGCCTTGAGGTACTTAATTTTGCCTGATTGTCTTAAATTAGTTTTATAACAAAACTTTGGAGGAAAAATATAGTCTCTCCACTCAGAGGAGGAACAATCACATCACAGGGAGGGGGTGGATGGTAGCAAGGAATCACAATTCTGCCTCATTATAAACCCAATGTCAACAGTTCACAGTACCTTATTCTTTCCTTTACCCTGGTCAGCAATCACTAATGCTTGCTTGCAAAACAATCTGTACTTCCAAAGTTGTTCCACACCATTCATCTCCTCAAAAACCATCCTGCCAAGTCACTACTTTCATTAATCCCAATTTACAGATGAGGAAGCTGAGGCCCCGAAAGCACAAGCGGCTCACTTAGGGTCATGTTGCCAGTTCCTTGGTGGCCGGTCTCCCATTCCTTCTACTCCTCAGTGTGGGTCAGACAAGTTCAGAACAGTGTCCTCCAGTTCATCAGCCTAGTAATCACTCAGGAAACCAGCAGGCACAGAGCAAAGTTAAAAAGGAGGATTGGTTCGGGCTTGGAGCAACTAACTCACCAACCTTGAAGTCTTAGGGCTACAAGGTCTGGACTTACTACCAAAGGACTTTCAGTCCTAGGCAAGAGATCTTCCCTAAGGAAGTTTGTGACATCAGCCTGTCTCTTCTGTTCTTCCCCTTAATATGCGATTCAGCTTGTTCAAAACCACCTTGGTCCCAAAAGTCTCTTCCCAGGTGGCCAAGAGACAGGACAGGATGATGATAATGAGGAAGGCAATAATGACACTAGAATAATTGATAATAATAGCCAAAGTGTACAGAGAGCTTACTCCATGCCCGAAACTGCCCCGGGCAATGTTTACATACATTTGATCTCCCAATCTACAGCTGCTAATCTAGGGGGCAGGTAGCATCTTCCTGATGAGGAAATGAGGCTCAGAGAGTGTCCATCACATGCCTGGCAGGCAGAAAATGGAGAAGGAAGGGTTAGCAGTTCACAGACTGCAGAGTGAGCTTCTGGCCCTAAAGCCTTCATTTATCAATCAACTTCAGACTCACCCCCTAACATGATGACTGACATTCCTCACATGTCTGATCCTCCTAGGGAATAGGGCTTCTCCAAGAAAGCCAAGCGCGGAGAACCCAGCAGCGTCGTGTCAAGGATCTAGAAACTAATTTATCCTCCTCGTATCCCAACATTTCCTTTTAATTAAAAACAAAATTGGCATTTATAGGTCTTCCTGTTTTTTTTCAAAGCGTTTTTCCTAACTTGAACACAAATTAAAAAAAGAAAAAAGTAACACGGTGCAAAACAAAGTTAACGAATGTGGTGAACGGCTCATGGCCTGTTAAGTGGACTCCTCAGTCATTTTCCCAGACTGAACAGGCAGACTTGGAGGTTCTGAGGTGAAGGAGTACTCCGTGACTGGAGGTTTTCAAGCTTGGAAGGCATTGTTCGGTAAGCAGTCCCTTAAGGAGCATACTATTCAAAACCTTGGCTGGGAACGAGTACTAGGTGATCTGTAAATAATCTACGGGTAAAGTTTACCAGGAGTGGAACATTAACGTGGAAGAGGTGAGGCTTTCGATGGGTCATTGGCCTGTGGTCTGTTCCTAATTGGAGGCCCTGCTTTCGCCTTTAACCGTTTCTGCTTCTCCAACTACAGCTACTGTGTGAAAAGGACAGAAAGGAGCAGGTAGAGCATGAATTCAAAGACAAATACTCTGATGAGGTGGCCAGCTAGGCAGTTAGAACCAGTAAGTGTCCCGGTGGCGACAATACAACTGTTAGGTCAAGTGTATGAAGGGTGAGGCCCCTTCAGGGCAGCTGCAAAAAGAAAGCCCCTATTAATCCCTTAACTAAGCAGCTGATAGAGTTTATCTTTTTGTGCATGTGTTATAACTCTTCCAACACAGGATTTTTTTTTTTTTTTGTCCAACACAGGATTATTATAAGTTTAAAAAAGCACAGCCTACCAAAGCTTTTTGCGGATTTCTTCATCTTGCTAACAGATAACAGAAACTAGAACTTTGGAGGGCTTCTGTTTACAATTCACTGTCACTCTGGCTTGAAAAATGGTAAGAAAGCTTCATTGCTGGATTCATTCACAGAAAGAATAGGTCCCTATTTGAAGAGGGAAGAGATCTCAGTCTCCCGCTCTGAGATCGACTTTCTTTTGAGTTTGCATCCATTGTTATTTAAAGCAACAGCATTCAGCTACGGTTCAGCTAGGGTTATTTTGCATAGTAATATCAGAAAAGGAAACATTACCTGGTATAATCCCCTTTGGCTTCCTGAAATAAAACACAATGATAGACGATCAATATGTATGTATGTGGATTAAGCGAATGAATTTCACTCTGGGTCCCGTTTCCCACTTTGAGTGCCTGAATTTTGTTTGGCGGAATGTACACGAGGAAGCTTTCTCTGTGGCCACGGAGAATGTGGCACTGGTGAGAAAACATTAGTATCCATGAAATATTTCTTATTCTTAACAGAAGAGACAGATATATCTGAAAAAGCACAGATGACTAGGTCTTCTTTTAGGTTTCTAAGATCACGTGATACATGCTTGTTTATCCGAGCAGCACACTTTAGTCTGGACGCAGACTTTTTAAACCAGGGTGTAGGTAAATCAACCCATGCTATTTGTTTTCTCTTTTTAAACAAGCATGGAACACGTTGGATTTCTCAGCTACTAGTGCCTTTAAGAATTAAGGGGCTCTTTCACTCTGCCTCCAGAAAATGCAGGCGAAAGTTACTCAATTTAAATGAAAATTACAGCTGTTGTTAACAATTGCTGCTTCCCAAATCCAAGTAACCCAGAGCTCTTTTCCTGAAGTACAGTCTTAATTCTTTTCCCTCAGAACAGTCTAAATTTCATTTTCCTTTGCGACATCCCACTATAGCCTGCGCAAGTGACGCTCAAACAGAAAACGGTGGCTCACGTTTTTCATTGGCAAACAACCAGCTGGCTTAAACATCTATCAGCCAACTGGCCCATGCGAAAGTTTCAGAGTTGCAGGCGGTTCACAAAAACCAGCAAACAAAAAGGCGCGGGCAAGAGGCAGTGTGCTGATTCTTACCTGTAACACAAGTGCGGCTAACTTGAAGATGGTTTCGCTGTCCGCTTCGATTTGCCCCTGTTGGGGAAAAGAAAAGCATCGCTGAACAAGGCGGCCCTAGGTTGTAGCAAATGGCTGTTGAGTTGGGGAAGCTGTCACAGCTTGGCACCTCCAGTTTACAATCAAACGCAGATCATACCATTGCAAGGCAAAGGGAGGGGGGCATGGAGGGACGCATCCAGCGGTCAGGGGAAGCCACAAAGTGTGTGTGTGTGTGTGTGTGTGTGTGTGTGTGTGTGCGCGCGTCTGTTTCAGACAGCAGTATCCTGGAAGAAATACAAATGACTCTGAGGCTGAAAATTCAGACAACTTCCCAACGAATAATTTTTATCCCTACAAGTTCATTGTTAAGCTCTGAAGATTTTCTTAGTTTCACTTGGTGTTTTCCTGAGATCTTTTCTTTCCCCCCTCTGTGTCACTACATGGTTATTTTGGTATACCCACAATGCAACTATTACTAAAAATATAAATTCACTACTGCATCAATGACACATTGTTGAATTAACACGCATACACTTAGAGATAAAATGTAAAGCCTTAAGAATTGATTACAGCAAATACTTAGAGAAGACTAAAATTCTGTTCCTTTATATTGAAGTTTGATGACTCTAATTTATTATTTTACCCATTATTTTATTTTTTCATCCTTTAAGATCTCCCCCCCTCCAAAAATATAGGAATTCTGGACTTTGGAAAACAGGAATGCTTTTTCACTAGCCTGATAGAGATGCATAAGTGTGTGTGGAGGGAATATTGCCTCTGTCAATAATACTCACATATGCCTTCATTTATTTGGTTAATAAATAATATGTGACCATATACATCAACACCATTATTGCCTCATGTAATATATTGCAACAACGAGTCGATGAGTGGTATAGAAGGATCTTTATTTTTTTAAAAATTGTGATATGCTAGTTTGTGGGCATTCACACACACTAAAACCATTCCATAGAACCTTAAGTCTTACATAATTAGTACTTGAAAGTGAATATTGTTTGAGATCATAGAACTCATGAGCCTAGAAATGAACCCGAACTCATTATTTCTCCCTTCTACCCGTTGAATTTGGGCTGCAGAGTTTTTGCAGTTAAACCAACAGCATTAATGGTGAGTAAAAGTAGCTTTAAAGTAAACGCATACTAGGTAGGCTTACAGAGCAGTTAGCTCACTGAGGATTTTGGAAAGGATTACGCTTTTCTCTCACGTTTCCAAGTGATTTGATTGGGGTTCTCAAAAAAAAAAAAAAAAGGAAAAAAACCAAAAACCAATAATAATCATTCTTCTAAAAGCCATAAAATAAAGAAACCAAAAACCTAGGGCATTACAATGTCAGCTGTGATAATTATCTGTGTTTCCCTTATATTACACAATGAAAACAAATTATTTTCATCTGTAACATCTAAGTTTCCCTTCTGAAACCTGAGGAAATGGATTTGCTTCAAAGTTTTTCCTTTAAAAGCTGACAGGTCCAGAGCCTGGGAATTCACAGCTCGCTTATAATCTCTAGAAACAGATTACAAAATCAAAGAAAAGGCAGGCTGGTTGTAAGCATCAGTTGCCCTCTGTCTTTCAGGCCAGAGAGACAGTGGTTTTCTAACCTGGTGAAAGATGATGAAGCAGCTAATCCAACAGGTGAGATGAGTGTTGATCGAGATTAAATTCTAGAAAGCTGAAATTCCTTATGTTCAAAGAAAAAAAAAAAGAAAAAACTCATGCAAAGGGAGGGGGGTAACGGGGAGGGGGGAGGAATGCTCAAAACCATCTTTGAGTTTGAAATCATGCCCGAATTTACAGTCCAGTTTGTCTTAAAATCTTACAAAAGAGAAAAAAAATTGGATTATTTTGGACATTAAAATAACAAAAGCTAAATAAAATTTATTGAAAACCATGACCAACTCCTCTGGCCCCCCATGACCGCCTCTGCCTCTTCAGAACCTTAGGTGAGTCATCCAAACAATATTTTAGACACTAACTTTTCAATTTCGGAAATGGAAGTTCAGCAGATAAAAAGGCCTCAGACAGAAACTCTTAAGAATGCTGCCAAAGAATTCTCTACCTTAGAAGGGTCATTAAATATTAAAAATGATCAAATGAGAAGCTGAAGCATGAGAAGTACCAGGCTCAGGCAGCTCCAGAAGAGTGGGGAGGCACATATGCAACTCACCTGTGGACTTTTATTCACCCATACTAGTTGCCCCAACACAATTCTGGTGCAGGAGGGTGACGGAGGGGTGCAGGGGTGGGGCCTACCAAAATCTCGTTCCTGGGAGAGAGGAGAATGCATGGTTTGGCCAAGCCTTACATTCTTTTATCTTTAAAAAAATTTTTTAAAGTGTTTATTTACTTTTGAGAGAGAGACACAGAGTGCGAGTGGGGGAGGGGCAGAGAGACAGGGAGACACAGAATCCGAAGCAGGCTCCAGGCTCTGAGCTGTCAGCACAGAGCTGACGCGGGGCACGAACCCACCAACCGTGAGATTATGACCTGAGCCGAAGACAGACACTTAACCGACTGAGCCACCCAGGCAACCCTAAGCCTTACATTCTTTTATATATCTCAGCCCCTACCTCACCTTCCTCTTAACCACTGTTCTGGAAATACAATGCAACATATTTTGAGTTCTAATACTGATTGCCAAGGTTACTTAACTTGTGCATGGAGCTCACCAAGCAACAGACCAAGCAAAACTAATACTATCTGCCTGGTTCTCAGCAATTTCATATGGTGAAATTTAATTAAGACTTCTAGAGAACTCCAGAATTTCATGCATAAAGTGCAAATGTTCTTTAGAAATTGCCGTCTGCCCAGGGATGGAAGATTTCTTTTACTTATAACCATGGTAACAGAGGTAACCTTATAGGTACTGGGCAAGCTAACATCGGAGAGGGATCTCCTCAAAGAGATAGGTAACGGGATCCTTCAGTGGGTTTCCATGACTGTCATGGATAAACAGAGAGGAGTAGAGAAGTAAGTCAGATGATGTGGCTGAATGCACAAGGGTAATACGAAACAGTATCAAGTCTTGGTGTTCTACCCTCATGGCTAATTTAGCTGGCTTACGGATCCAGTCTCTAGGTCACTAGGTTCAGGATCTATGTTGGACATTTTATTTTGTGTTTGGCTTGTTGGCTCAGTTGACCAAAACATCTTGCTAATGAAATGAGAACTATACGTTTTGATTCACAAGGAGAAGAGAATAAAAGAAAGTTTTAGAACTTGAAAAAGCATTTAGTGAAAATATGACTCATGATGGCCCTGAGAATCAGGGACATGAAGTGTCCTACCCAACCCCACAGCAGATGGTGACTCCAGGCTCTTTCGAGTCCATCGTGGCCACTAGTTACCTTTCTGACTCCAACGTAAAGCTCTCACCAGGAATCTTCTAAAGGTAGGCTTTTGGCAAAAACTATAATCAGGTAAGACTGAAAAATACTCCAAATGCCACCTCCACTGCTGGTGGGTGGTAAGTTATCATTAACCATAAACGCCTCATAATAGGAATGGGAAAATTCCTTGTGAAGACTCATCTGTATCGATGTAATACTTCATGGAAGCTTATTCTGCACAACAATGGGCATGAATCACTTGCTCACAAATACTTAGGATCTGGAACTATTTGACAAACTGTTGGGGGAAGCCAGCTTATTTCCAAGTATATTACTAATTATCTAGCTATTTTAGGGTTAAGTCTATTAAAAAAGGCAACTTGAAGAACACCAAGAAATAAATATATGAGAAATGAGAGGAATGGGAAATTAGCACTTGCAGTCATCATACTGCTGATTGTTCAGGTAACAGTTTTCAATAAACAAAAACTATTGGGTGAAAGTTTGGTGAGAAACAGGACAGGGTATTTATATAATCACGAAGCATCTCTCTATTGGGGAAATTTAATTACAAGAGGGAAAAATGGTAGCTTTTCAGTGGAGAAACCTGACAGATACAATCTTAATGAAGTGATGAGACATTACCAATAACCGTACAGACCGGCCTCCTGATAATATGCATTGAGAAGGACATAACGTCACTTATATACATGTCTGTACTGGTAAATGTAAATGTTTCACAGCCAGAAATGGGGTGGGGGGGGGGGAAACGATCCCTCAGTTGTAGCATTTGTGGATTTCCACGGTGCAAATACCCCCACCACAGCCGATTTCAAGCTACCAATAGTAGCTTGAAGTAGCTACCAAGCTACCGATATGGCATCACGGGACACGCTGCTGGGAAGAGATGTGAGAATCGGCTCTTACAGCAGGTACTAGCTGGCTAGCACACCACTGGGTGGTACTGCAGCCGAAAATACATCACTAGATCTAATCACGAGGAAGCATGAGACAAACTCAAATTGAGGGACATCCTATAAAATATCTGGCCCATAGCCTTCAAAAACGTAAATAGGATCAATGCCAAAGAAAGGCTGAAGAACTGTTTCGAAGGAAAGGAGACGAGGCAGTCGTAAAAACCAAATGAAATGTGTCATCCCATGTCAAGAGGAAAAGTTGTTACAAAGGGCACCCCTGGGAAAGTTGGAGGGTACATTAGGCAACAGTCCAGATTCAATTGTTAAATGTTCTAAATGTGATCATTGTAACAGGGTTCTATAAAGGGTGGCTTTGCTCTTAGGAAATACACAATGGATTATGTAAGGATAAAGAGCGTAACTTACTCTTAACTGGTTCAGAAAAAAGGACACATCCGTGGGCAGGGGGAGAGAGAGCAAACGTAGCAAAATGTTGACAACTGGTGAATTTGGTTTGATGGGCATATGGTGTTTTTGTGCCATTCTTACAGCTCTTCTGTAAGTTTGAAATGATTCTAAAATAAGAAGTTTGTAAAAAATTGACCTAATTTCCCAGAGTGCTGGCTATCTATTTGTCTTTTTTTTTTTTTTAATTTTTTTTTCCACGTTTTTATTTATTTTTGGGACAGAGAGAGACAGGGCATGAACGGGGGAGGGGCAGAGAGAGAGGGAGACACAGAATCGGAAACAGCCTCCAGGCTCTGAGCCATCA